CGTGTGCATGTGGCACTTGAGGGCATGGCTTAGTGGGGGTGGTGCTGCTGGGGGAATGGCTGGACTTGGTGGTCTTAGAGGGCTTTTCCAAGCTTTACAATTCCATGGTTCTATGATTCTTTAGATCCTGGCCCTAACCCTCCTGCAAGGATCGTGGGATGCTCAGGTGTGGGTCTGCCATGGGATCACAGTCCCCCTTGGCACCCTGTGGCCACAGGACAGCCTCTGGGGTGAGACTGTGGCCACATCCCACCATTCACCTTTGCTTTTCTAACCAAAGTTCTGGAAGAATCAGGCCTGGGGTTCTGTATTCATTTGTTGCATTAACACATTTTAGGTGGTGTTTATTTTGTTTGTTTTGGTGACCTGGGATCATTGCATTGGTGCTCTCAGGGAAAGGTGGATGTTTTCAGCAGAAATAGGTGGATCTCAAAGATTTTAGGTACTTTACAAGCAGGGACTGCATGAGCATTGGTAAGATTTTTCTGTTAAAATTAGCGGCAGTGAAGCAGTTGACTGTGATGACATTTGATATTTCGGTCTGTTGAAATGAATGAGGTGGATGAATGACAAGTCGTGGATTTGGGAATATGAGAACATTAACATAACAATAGTTGATCAGCCAGGTTTTCAACTATCAAGATATTTTGTACAGCCTGAAAATCATATCAGAATCTTCTCTGCCATGTTTCAAGCAGCCAAGGGGCAGATCATTTCACCTGAGCTATAGCCAGAGGAGTTGCATGCATAAAACTATGTTAATTTTAAAAGTTGGAGAAGATGTAAGAGGAGGAATTCACAAACTAGAGAAGACAAGGATGGCAAGTGTTTCTGCTCCATGAGAAGCTTTTCCAGAGGATTGTGGCTATCTTTAAAGACAATCTCAGTGAAAAATAAGTGTGTATATGAAGAGTCAGTTGACAGTTCCTCTCTGAAATGTCCAGTGGATGGACAGACCTTTAAGGACAGCCATGCATAGACACTGAGAGTCTCTTGTAGCAATACTCACAACAGCTCTCCCTCTTTCAATAGGAAAAACATCATGGGGTTGTCTTGGACTCAGTATTCCCTTTTACTGCAAAACTGCAAAGTATATCCCAAGACTTCCCTCTCCTGAGGGATTTTGTTGGCAGTGTGGTGCTGGAAGCGCAGTGTTTGCAGGTCCTGAATGCACTCAGCACTGGCTCTTGCTGCTCCAGGGATTCTCCAACCCCAGCAAGATCTGGAGGCCACAGAGGGACTTCATTTCTCCCTCTTTGACCCGAGGGATAACCTCAGAGACCTGGAGTCTGTGAGGAAGCAGGATCTCAGAAGAATCATAGATCATATAATGGTTTGACATGGAGAGGACCTTACAGACCATCTCGTTCCACCCTTGCCATGGGCAGGGACACCTCCCACTGTCCCAGGTTGCTCCAAGCCCCATCCAACCCAGCCTTGGATGCTGCCAGTGATGGGGAGTCCACAACTCCCCTGATTACCCCACTGTGAGTGATTAACCCCAGAGGTTAATCACTCCCTATAACTGCTCCTCCATCCCTCCGTGCTGTAGGAAATTCCAGGTGCTGAGCTTTACTGGCTCAGCTCTCCTCTCTGAAGGGAGAGGAAAAAGCCACCAGGCCCTTCCCGCTGTGCATCCTCTGTCCCTGCTGTAAATCCCCTCTGTGCTCCCTTTCCAACTGACTGGTCCCTGCAGAGGAGCAGCCTCGGGGGCCTGTGGAGTTCCACATCCCTCACACAGCTCTGAAGGACAGGAAAGGACAGCGGGGCCGGATGCTGCTGTTCTGCGCCAGCGCCCTCCTTACTGCAATTACAGCCCTGTTAGAAACCTCCACCTTATTTAAAGAGACACTGTCAACTGCCTCAAAGCTCCTTTCTGCAAAAGGCTCCCAAGGCCACTGAGATGTGTTCTTAATGAGGAAGAGGAAAGCACTAAAGAGCACCGATAAAGTAGAGGTGCTTTTCATTTTTTAGGCTGTTGAATCTAATGAATTAAAACTACTTCAATTAATCACTGTAGCCCCTTCTGCCAAAGTTATCGTCTCAGTTTCCAGATGAGAGGAGTGAGGCAAGAGGAGCTGAGTGATGGGTTCAAGGTTGCTCTGTGAGTTTGCTGCAGAGGTCTGGGTTGTAAGGTGGTAAAGGAGACTGAAGCAGTGTTTGATTGTTGGTAGCAGCAGGAAATACTCCCCAGAGGCACCATGGTGAGCTGTGATGTAGTCCCTTCTCTAGGAGGTGCTCCAGCACATGCAATATGGGATTCAAGATCTAAGGCTGGGTGAATGCCAGGTCCTGGCTGGTCTGATGGGCTGTGCTTATCTGTGTACCACCATGAAAGGCATTTCCAGGCTGGGAGAAGGGCTTTACTGGGAAACTCCAGGCTCACCTTCCCTCACTTCAAAGACTGCAGATCATCAGGAACCCCCTGAACGTGTGTATGGCTGTTGGCTGTCACTGATGGCATTATTCATGTGGTTGGGCTTAGTGTTTTTGAAAGTGCTTAGTTCCCCTCTCTGGTGGCTTAGGCCAGCTCAGATTTTCTTTGCATTTACTCACCATGCTCAAGTTGAATTTTTGTGTTTTTTGACAGGTGTGTGTCCCTGCAGGGTCACTGCCATGGTACTGAAGGTGTTCTTTCCATCGTGCTGCTCCTCAGCAGACAGCGGCATTTTGATTGGCCGCTGGATCTCGGAGCAGAACTCTGCTGTCATCCTTGCTGTGGTGCACTTCCCCTTCATCCCTGTGCAGGTGAAGCAGTACCTTGGGGAAGTCCAGCGTGTGACTAAAGTCAGTGTTTCTGTGCTTGGCTCATGGAGCAATAGCAAACAGGAGAAAGAAGAGAGTCTCAGTGAGTTCTTGGAAGACCTTGGGACCATATTCTGCCATGAGCCATGGATCCAGATAAGCAAAGAGGGAGACAGCAAATTCTGGAGCTGTTCTGTCCTTCAGAAACACTCTAAGAACCCTCAGGAGGAAGAAATCATCTTGGTGTACTATGACCAGCGCAAGGTCATGCTTTCCCATCTGCACCCCCCTTTGGACACAGCTGGCCCGGGGGCAGAGGATGCCTCAAAGCTCTCGGCCATCTTTGACACGGTGGCCAGGAGCCAGGTGCTGTTCATGACAGACAGGTACGACGAGGGGCCCATCAAGCTGACCCACTGGCAGTCGGATGGGGTGGAGGCCAGCATCATCGTGGAGCTGCTGAAGCAGGCCTCTGTGCCTGCCTGCATGCTGCTGACACTCCTGCTCTCTCTGCTCTCTGGGATCTGCAGGAGCAGGTAGGTGATGTGACATCGCCCAGCTTGTTCTGCCTGGAAATGGAATTCTTGGTTAGGCTTTGCAGGACTACTGCTCAACCCCAGTCAGAAATGTGATACAAGATTGTTCTGTTGGGAACAGGCTGCTGCAAGAGGTCCTGTTGGAGTGGAGCACAAGGCCAGAGGCTTCCTCAGAGCTCTTCATGGAGCTGGGAGGTTTTCTGGGGAGGCATCAATGTCCTCCCCATTTGCAGCAGGGATAGTTCAGCCCTGCTTCAGTTTCATCACAGCTGAAACAGTGGATTTCCAGCTATTCTATAGCTGACAGAATGACATGAGGCTGTCCTTAGTCTTCATAGCCGGGGACTCCCTCCTCCCTGCTTGCTGTGACTCCCTCTGCAGCTGTGAAACATCAGCAAATACTGTTTCTAAATCCAAATACTGTTTCTAAATCCATCCTCTCTCCAAGAGACTGTGGTGCTGCAACCTTGGCACTTTACAGAAGTTTAGAGGGATTACTGCTCAGCCTGAATCCTTGGTGAAATCCTGTTCTCACAACTGTGAGCTTGAATAGGATGCTCCAAATGTAATACGTGACAAGTGCTTGGACTGAAAGCTGATTCTGAGCAGATTTGCAGGGAAGAAACTTAAAATCATGGAATAATTTACCTTGGAAAGGCCCTCTAAGATCATCAAGTCCAATTAAGCCAGCACTGCCAAGGCCACCACTAACCCATGTTTCCAAGTGCCACATGTTTTTTAAATACTTGCAGGGATGGTGATTCCACCACTGCAGCTGCCTGGAGAGGTTGTGACAGAGAGGAGAGTGGAGTTCTGGTTCTAAGCTGCAAGAAGAAACTGTAATTGATGAAATTTTGATAACAGCTACTACTATATTCATGGATAAATCTTTTAAAGTACAGCCTAAAGGAATGGAGGTATTTAACAGGTTTCCAATTGTGTGATACAGTTGTAAAAGAATCACAGTGAAACTCTTCCCATGCAAAAATTTTCTGAGCAGTTGGGTTACACAGTCTGGTACACAAAAGAAAAACTGTCCAGTTTTGGATTATTGGAAGAGATTGAGATTCAAACCTGATATCACCAAGGACCCTGTGTCCTGGAATTGCTCTGTAGATACTGTGTGTTACTGGTTCTTAATGGTGATTAAGTCACAACTTTGTGGTTGGGCAGAAGATTTGGAGTCAGATTTAAAAGTCCTTTTTCTGCCTGTGTGCCATCACCACAGACAGGATGATTCTTTTCAGGTCTTGCTTGGTCCCACCTCAACTGGTGCCAGGATTCAGGCCAGGCTTGGAGTCAGGTTCAGCTCAAGCCTTGCTGGCATCCAGTCTCAGTCTGCAGTCTAAACACAAGTTGGGAGCTCAAGCTCAGTGGCAGGTTGGGCCCAGACAGCTGCTACCCAGCTTCTCAGGAATTCTGACTTCAGCTTTTCCTAGGGCCAGGATGGATGTTCTGAGGTAGAGCAGCAGCCAGCTGTACCTGGCAGCAGGCAGAATGCAAGGCTTGCTGTGCCCAAACCAACACTGAGCCTGTCCTCAACCTTGGGAGGCAGAGCTTTCTCTCTCCTTTGTTTTATTCACCCCCAGTATCAACTTTGTATTTACTTATCTCCTATGTGTTTTAAAACATCAACCTTGGAGAACAGAGATTAGTGCCTGGCTTTATACCAAGTCTCCTGCTTGACCTTCTAAGTCATTTAAAGGGATTTGGTTCCATTTTGTACCACATGATGTGTGGTACAACCTCCTTCATGCCAACATACTCGAGGCACGGAGAGTTCAAGATGTCACATGCAGGTGTCCTTCCAGTCCCCTCCTCCCCATGCCGGGACAGGACATCCCATAAAATAAGATTTACTGATTTTTTTTCTCCTTCAGGTCACAGGACTTTTTTCTATCTGTTTTTTTTTTTGTGATGTTAAGGGATAGTCAGCTTTGAAAGGCTAAAAAAAGAGATCAGCAATGTCCTCTCAGGCTGAGGGGGTTTGGGGATTTTTGGCTGTGCCCCTGTTGTGTATTTGCAGGGCAGCAGTGTTGGAAGTCTCAGGGAGTGAGTCGCTGCCATCCCTCCAAGCTCACCCCCTGTTCCCAGGTCCTGCACATCCTGAGTTAAGGCATTTCTGCAGCACCACCGTGTGCTGAGGGGTGGCCATTGCGATTCTGCTTCCGAGGAACTTGGGGGCAGCATTCTCATTGTCCCTGAAGGTCTCTGCTCTTGGGGACGTTAGGATGTTTTAGTCTTGAGGCAATAAATTCCATGTGCTTGTTTTTAAAAAGTCTGTTTATAAACACCTCCAATTCCTCATCCAAAGGGAGGCACTGCTCCTGCAGGTTCTAGCAAGGAGCAAGAAAACACACAGGGGGTCTGGTTAATGGAGCTTAATATTTGCATGTGATCCAGATTCAGAAAGATTGCTTTTCATCTGATATCTGAAAATTCCCCTCTCACTCTTGGGAAAAAAATGAATTGGAAAATCAAGGCTTACTCATGGAGGCTATGTTAATTTATTGCAAAAATTCCATATATTTGGAAATACCCCAAAGATCTCCTGCTGCTTAGATAATGCAATGACACAACATGACTAGATTTTTGTTGGGTGTTTTTATCTGGTTGGTTTTCCATTGAAGTCCTGAAAATGGTTCTATACAGTGTGTTGTAAACAAGTGGGAGTATTTCTGGCAATGCACAGTCAATGTGCAAAGGGGTAGGAGACCACACAAGGAATATTTTTTGCTTTCTTCCTCAGTCCTCACAGAGAGGAGAGTTCCCATAGCACATCTTGCAGCTGCTCTATTGAGCTTTTTGCAGTATGTTTGTATTTTTATTTCAATAATGTGTATGTATGTGAAACTATGTGAGTGGAATAGGGGCTGTGCTTGTGGTGGTGAGTGAAAAGAGAGTCAGTTGTGGCACAGACAGGGACATCCCTGGGATGTGTTTTTGGGCCCATGGTGTCCAGTTGAGGAGCTGAACCATTGCAGGCTGCACAATGTTTTGGTGCTCTGAGGTTGCTTTGGGAGTCATTCCCATTTGTGCAAGACATTCCTCAGGCAGACAGCAGCAGCCTGTCCTTTCTCTCCATCCTTCTGGGGGTGTCAGACGGGTGAGCCAGGGGCTGGCTGCCTCCAGCTTGAGGAGCAGCCATGGCTGGTGAGAGCCACCCACTGCTGAGAGAGGCTGGGGCTCTCACCCAGTGAGTGTGTGGTGTGGCACAGGCCCCAGAGCTGCTGCTTTCTGCCTGAGCTGACACGGGCTGGCAGCTGGTGTTTGACCCATAATTCTTCACCTTCAGCCATCTGTACATAATCCCACAGGTAGAGCGTTCCTCCTTCCCCTTCTTTACATTTCAAGTGCAATTCTCTGCTTTAGTCAAGTTTTGCCACACCAGAGTTTGTAACCACTGAGCTGGGGCATAATTGGAAGGGAAAACTCATCTGCTGTGGTGTCTTGGTGAATCTGTGAGGCCAGGTGTGTGTGATCCGTGGCCAGAGCAGTCACCCCCTCTCCCTCCCCTGCACTGCTCTTTTCTGCACCGCCCCAGCTCCCTCCTCCTGACAAGTCAGCTGAGGAACAGTGCATTCATTTGTCTCCAAGGTGGGAGGCTGTAGCAGAGCTGAGTAACTTGGAGACCTCAAATTAAGAATGATTCACAGTACACTGCGTGTGCTTCAAACCCAATGTGTCTGAAATTTGAATGGGGAGGGAGGGGGAAGAGGGGGACTTCAGCACTCTGGTCCTTCAGCTGACAAATGATGCACAAAGTGGGGTTCAAAGGGCTCAGGAGGGTGTGGGGAGGAAAGGGACAGCAGCCCCAGGGGACTGAGCAGGGTTTGGAGGAGCTGTACCTTTGTGATTGGTGTGAATTGTATAAATAGCAGTGGGCAGCCCAGTGTGCCCATCCTGGCCTGTTGTGGAGGCATCTGCTGCTGGGCATGGGCTGGCAGGCTCTGGGTGAAATCCGTGCAAGGCACACACAGTTTGCAGGGACATCCATCTCCAGGCCTGCTCAGGAATGGTCCAAGCAGCTGTGCAATTTCCAGAGTGAAGCAGGATACCAGGAATAATGGTATTGTGTGAAATTAATGTAACCTGAAAAACAGTGCCAGAGCAGCACAGGAGAGTAGATAAAGTGACTAAAAGTGACCATGGATTCCTGGACCTGTAACAAAAGCCAGTAAAACACAGTGAAAATAGTGCAACAACTGCACTGGCTGGTGTACTCCTGTGTACAGAACTGATCCAAATTATGGTCACATCAGAATTTATCCCCCAGACCAAACCTGGTGCCGTGTGTTGCTGTGGTTTCTGTGACCAGCCTGCTCCCAGTGCTGTGTCACTTCAGCCTGCACAAATCACCAACTGTCCTTGCTTTATAGGTTGTGTGGTAATAAAAGTAACTCCCCAAAATAATTGAGCATCATTTTGTACTTTTCTTCTGAGTCATAAGAAAAGAACCTTGTGACTGTTTCCTCCCCTACAGGCCTAATGTGGATGTTAACTTTGAAACCTAATTAAATGCTAAAAGTTGGTTACCTACATAATGCTGATCACTGCAAGGCAGTGGAGAGAAGGTAGAAGTGAAGACCCTGAAAAAAGAATTTGGAAGTAATAAAAAAAAAATAAAAAAAAAAAGAAGAGCAGGATCAAGTGGAAGAAAAAAGAGAAGCAGGGGGGAAAGGACATAACTGCATGGAGGGCACAGCTGTTTTATATACCAGGCTCACACCACACAGAGAGTTGTGATCACCTCTGCTCTGGAGCCAGGCTGGGAGGAACTGGAAGCTCTGGGGGGACCTTAGAGTCACTTCCAGTGCCTAAAGGGGCTCCAGGAGATGTGGGGGAGGGAGAGGGACTGGGAGGGAGAGGGGACAAGGGATGGAGGGACAGGACACAGGGAATGGCTTCCCACTGCCGGAGGGCAGGGATGGATGGGATATTGGGAATTGTTCCCTGTGAGGGTGGGCAGGCCCTGGCACAGGGTGCCCAGAGCAGCTGTGGCTGCCCCTGGATCCCTGGCAGTGCCCAAGGCCAGGCTGGGCAGGGCTGGGAGCAGCTGGGACAGTGAAAGGTGTCCCTGCCCATGGCAGGGGGGTGGAATCAGATGAGCTTTAAGGTCCTTTCCAACCCAACCCATTCCAGGATCAGTGATGAGTAACACTGGGGTCTGTGCAGCAGTTACACCATGTTGAATTGTTGCACTGAACACAACTTGACTCTGCTCTCCTGGAGACTGGAGCACTGTGCAAGCCCAGTGATGTATCCAAAGCAGAGGCTGGGATCAGGATTGCCTTGTGGCTTCCTTGGAAGAGTGAGACATGGTTTGACAGAGTGCAAATGAGAGCTTGGGTTGTCTGCATATCTTGGTCTGGCAAGGCTGCCTTAATTCTTTTAACCTTTCAGGGAGTCATTAACATCTAATCACCAGCTCTGGTTGCCCAACCTTAACTTCACACTGAGAGTTTTGCATGGATGTTGGATGCTGGCCTGCCTGCACCATGGCAAAGGCAAGAGGAGACATTCCCATGTGTTTTGCAGGGTGCTGAAGTTTTGGCCTTTGTCTTTCTTGTGGAGCAAACTCTCAACCTGTGAGCAGCTGGGACACCGCCTGCAGCACCTCCAGGTCATCAGCAGCAACAAGAAGGCTCAAAACCAAAATCAGCTGATGAGGTATGGAGTACATGTAAAGTTAGGTGTGTCTTGGCTCTATTCCTGTCTCTTGTGGGGAGCCCAAGCCATGTATCCCATGCCTGGACAGTACTAGGCCCTCACTGCACTCTATCATGTTCCTCTATTCCCTGCTAGTTTGCATATCTTTACTCTACACTCTATTCATATGCATGTATATTTGTATTTTTATGTGTTAATCATCCCTTTTTCCAGATACCTGCCTTTTTCCCTAGCTCAGGAAAGACAACTGGGATATTGCACCCCAAAAGCTTGTGCTGCACCCATGTGTGAGTGCTTTGCTGTCACTACTCCCACAGGCTCATTGCTTTTACATGTGCTGCTGTCAACCACGGGCATCCATCAGTGTTCAGTGGCATTTTCCATAAGAGTAGAAAGGTTTAAATGCTCCCCTTCTTCACCCACTCTTTTGGGAAAGCTTTTTGTGCAGAAACTGCAGACCAGACACTCCAGTTACACTGTTAGAACAGTAACAAAGTGTAAGAGAAAAAGCAAACATGCAGCACAGTGAGAGGAACAGAGCAGAGATCTGAGACAGATACTGGATGCCCTACAGCTCTTCCACAGCCAGGCTTGTTCTGTGTGATTCTCTGATCCTGCAGTAATAGACTCCCAGGGAACACTTAAAATGAACAGATTTGAAGGCCGAAAGTAACTGTGATTGTTCTGTCTGATTCCTGAGTAACTCACGTCATGGAATTCCATTCAGTGAGGAAGGGGCAGCCCAGCAGCCCTTCTGGATTTGTGTATGAACCCAAAACCACTATTTATTGCCTTGTCTGGGAAAGCCATCTGATCTCAGTGTGGATGTGCCAAGTGCAGCTGCCCTTGGTACAGGTAATTGGTAAATCCCCCCTGAGTGTGTATATACCTTTCTGTCTAACATTCCTCTTTGTAGCTTCAATCCCCTCTTTGCTCTATACTAAGAAAGGTTTTGTGATGTGGCAGGCTCTGAGTGGCTCTGAGTTTAGAATCATGGAATCACAGAATATCCTGAGTGGGAAGGGACCCTCAGGGATCATCCAGCTCCTGTCCCTGGACAGACCCCCCAACAGTCCCACCCTGGGCATCCCTGAGAGTGCTGTCCAAGCTCTCCTGGAGCTCTGGCAGCCTCAGGGCTGTGCCCATTCCCTGGGGAGCCTGGGCAGTGCCAGCACTCTCTGGGTGAAGAACCTTTCCTGATATCCAACCTAAACCTGCCCTGGCACAGCTCCAGCTGTTCCTTTGGGTCCTGTCACAGTTTGGAGCTGCTACTCAGGAGAGAGCTGTAAACAGCTGGGAGATCTCCTCTCAGCCTTCCCTTCTGCAGGCTGAACAAACCTCTCCTGTGCTTGGCTACAGGAGCACCAATGGAAGTGAAAAGATTCCAAAATTGTTCCTCTTCAGTGAGTTGTCCTGGTGTTCCTGGGACATTAAAGGTGCTACATAAGCAAAGCCAACAACTGTCATTGAAACATTAAACACTGTCCTTCCTTTAACTCTGTTTCTCTGTGTCCTGCCTGCAGGAAAGCCAACATCTTTGTGTCTCTGCTGATTGATGTGGCCCTGGGGATACTGCTGATGTCGTGGCTGTACAGGAAGAACCGCATTGGTCACCTTGCTGACACCCTCATCCCTGTGGCTGATGTAAGTCTGGCCAAATCTGATCCCCTTTCACCTGCTCTGGGTTGGTTGGTAAGGAAGCAATGCCTCTCCCACAAGCTTTCTGAGAGACCTGTCTGAAGTCATGCAAATTAGGTCTCCTCAAGAACAGTGAAATCTTCAAATCAGGCCTGTTGGGGCTGCTCGAAAGAAACTCAGCTCTGCTTTGCATGTGCTGTGAATAGTAATTAGATGTTTATGGGAGGGCTCCTCAAACTTCTAAAGGAACAATTATGGCTTGGACAGAGCTCTGCAGCTGCATGTTGGGTGGTTATGGAGCCATAGTGCTTTTATTTTATTTTCTTTTTTTCTGGAGTCGACAGAAAGTGTCCTCAGGTTGTTGCTATATGGGTTGTTCGTGGTGAAAAAAAAGCTGTAACCTGGGTTGAGTCTGATAAACTGCTGGAAAGTCAAATATGATAAGCAGTGCAGCTATGCTTGTGGAAGGAGTTTCATGGGGAAGTCCAAAGGCTTTGCTGATCAGGGTACAAACACCTGAAATCCTGCCTAGAGCTCTGGGATATGGCCAGACTAGGAAAACCTGCTGTGTGTTGTGATTTGCTTAAACATAACTCCTCTTGCCCACTGAAATCCCCCAACATCAGCAGAAATTCACGGGTAGCTGGTGTGACCCACACTGTCCTGCTCTTCTGGTGGTTCACTTTAGATGCTGAGCTCCAGCATATCTGTTTAGTGGCAGTAAGGAACATATAATGTACTTCAGAGGCTGGTGACCAGTCCACTAATCTGAGGTCAGCTCTCTTTTAAGAGCTTCTGTGTCTTGGGATTACATGTGCAGCCAATTTTGAGCCCTGCCATGCAGCTGCACAGCCTAATCCTTTCTCTGCCCACTTTTCTTTCATTTCTACATGACTCTTTCCATTGGTTTCATTCTAGCAGCTGGAGAATGTCTTCTCTCTGCTCTTTCTCCAGCTTCTTGGTTGAGAAGAATTTGATTTTGATGAGAAAATTCCAGCAATTGTTTATTTTTCCTACTTATGCTGCATTTCCTGGGCAGACCTCACATTTCCTTTGACGACAGTCTTTGTGGTCCATGTTGAACTCCTTAATTATTGCAAGGTCTCTGATCATTCTTGTACTTGCTGGACTTGCAGAAAGCATGTATGGATTGTCCAGCATAGCTGTGGATCAGGACTATTGCTGGTTTTCTTATCTTTCATAATCAAAATTTTAAGGACATCATGTGTGCTGTAGGCACTACTCAGCAGTGCTGGTGGGTAGGGAGAAGCACTTTTGTTGCAGGACACTTGGTCTTGTGTTTGAGCTATACACTGCAAATATTCTTCTAAGCCTTAATCCTACATCTTTTCCCTTACAGATATTTCAGCTGGAGAAGTTTAAGTTCTCTAGAGCTTTCCCTTTGGGATTACTGGAAGTGCCCAGCTCTCAGAAATCTGATTTCTTAACAAGTGTGCAGGGAAGTGGCTTTGGCTGCATTCCTGGTTGCACAGGTGGCTCTGGGAGGGATTCCATCTGCCCAGTGTCTTTGGCAGATGGACACTCTCCGTGCCCAAGGTGTGTCCAACCCCAGCACCTGTCCTGGACAGGCTTTCTTGTGAGGGTTGCTTGTTTGTTCCTCTTTCAGTAATTTAGCTCATCTGTCACTCAACTTTTGCCTCATAGTGACAGCTGTCTTCAGCAAGTCTCCTCCTCCGTGTGTGGACTCTGGTACCTGGCTATCACCAGGAGCTGTTTGCTTTCATTCCTGGAAGTGCTGACTCCTGCATGGCTGGGGGGGCTGATAGCCACTCAGTGCCTTTCTTCCCTGTTTTTCCTGGCTTATCAGTTCAGGCCATTCACAACTCTTCTTTTTTCCAGCCTTAGTTTCTTCTTTCAGGCATATAAGATTGTGGACATAAAATCATTTGGAGTCTTTTTACTCCCTTTGCTGGGCATTGATTTATATGCATTATATGCAGGCCTTAAAAAATGCAGATCTGAGTGATCCCAAAATATACCAATGACTTCAGCATGTGGTGTGCAAGCCAGCACCACTTCTTTTCCAGTATGACAGCAAAATCTCCCCTCAGCCATTCAGCAGTGGGTTTCCTCTCTGCTGCTGAGTGTCCATCTGGTCTGCATTATTCCCATCACTGGGCTTTCTCAAGTGCTTGTGTGCTGCCAAGTTCAGTAACTCAGCATTCCCTGTGTGCAGAGAGCCCCTGCTCCTTCCCTAACACTCTTCTGCTGTGAGCTGTGCCCAGATATGCTGATAGCATTGACCCTACACCTCTGTGTCTGTTGGTAAATACAGCATTGGGTATCTCATTTGCCCAGAGGGTGCTGGCGCTGCCCAGGCTCCCCAGGGAATGGGCACAGCCCCGGGGCTGCCAGAGCTCCAGGAGAGCTTGGACAGTGCTGTCAGGGATGCCCAGGGTGGGATTGTTGGGGTGTCTGTGCAGGGCCAGGGGTTGGGCTGGATGATCCCTGAGGGTCCCTTCCCACTCAGGATATTCTGTGTTGCTACTGTAATAAGATTGTTATGTATAATAAGGCTATATACATAACTATATATATATATATAACTATAACTATATGTATAGAACTATACATAACTATAAGATTGTCTATATAAGTCTATATACATAACCTCACTTTAACCTTATTGATTTTAATATTGACAGACTACCCTTATATAACACATAACCTTACTGGTTTGATTGATTGATTTTAACATTGACAAAATCCCAGCTGTGTGGGCTCTGGGTACAGTGCTTGGGTTTTTTCCAGCCAACATTTCTGTGGAAGGAAGCAGTGCAGGTGGGTGATTTTGACTCTCAGCACTGCCAGGGTCACAAGCTCAGCCTGCTGCCAGGAGCTCAAGCTGTGTTCCCTGGCCCTCCCTTGTTATCCTCTGATAAAATGGATCTCAGATCAGCACTTGGGTGGCAATTGTTGATGCTGCACAAGACATCTCTGAGTGCAGCTCCCACTTTTCCAGCTTGTGAGCTGTACTGTGCTGGCTGTAATAACAAGCTGCTTTTGTCACTCAGTGAGGCAGATGTGATTCAGAGACACCCAGGGAGTAACTGGCAAGGAGCTGTTAGGAAAGACTGATTTTTGAAGCAGCCTTTCAAATCCAAAAATGGAAAACTTGAATAATCTTCTCTCTGTAGGTGCCCTCACAACTCCTACCTTCCTCCTTCTCTTGATCCCACCAGGCTTCCCAATGGTTGTCCTTGCTTTTGCCTTCCACAAGACAGCCTTCTTTCAGAAATACCTGACTCAAAGATTTGCACTGGTTTTAAACAGAACTGCTCATAAACCATCTCCTTTTTTTTTTCCCTTTATCTCTTTTATCCTTGCTGATGTCTCTTTTTCCTAAGTTGCAATCTGTTTGAAACAGTTACATATTTATCATAGATTGTGCCTGCAAAAGCTTTTCTGGGGCTTGGAGATAATTGGATGTATGCTCCTAGTCAGTCTTGTTCCACTGATCCATAAACAAAGCCAGCAGAGAGAGCGCTTCCTGAAAAATATTTTTAGATGTTAATTTATAAAATAGTGTATCTTAGAGCCCCAACCACCTGCCACAGACACAGGGCAGGTGTGTCTGACAGGGACAGCTTTGCCTCTGCATGCTCTGACTTGCACCAGATAGAGCCCTTAAAGCTGGAAAAGACCTTTAGGATCACCAAGTCCAACCATCAGCCCAGCACCCCTGTGTTCACCCTAACCCCTGGCCACAAGGGCCCCCAGGGATGGGGACTCCACCACAGCCCCAGGCAGCTCTGTCAGTGCCTGACCACCCTTTCAGTGAAGAAATTTTCTCAATATCCAATGTAAACCTCTGCTAGTGCAACTTGAGGCCATTTCCCCTTGTCCTGTCCCTGTTCCCTGGGAGCAGAGCCCGACCCCCTGGCTGTCCCCTCCTGTCAGGAGCTGTGCAGAGTCACAAGGTCCCCCCTGAGCCTCCTTTTCTCCAGGCTGAGCCCCTTCCCAGCTCCCTCAGCCCCTCCTGGGCCTCCAGCCCCTTCCCCAGCTCTGTTTCCTGGAGCATCACAGTGCCCTGTGTGTCCTTCTCCAGCCATGTCACATCAGCATTTACCTCTGCACATGGAAACTAGGAAGAAGAGCATGACAGGAAAGAGAATATTTCCACAGTGAGCTCATCTAACCCTGGTTAGCACCAGTCTGTCTCCAGTTTGGTCATGTCCCAGTACCCTGTTATGAAACACTTCCAAACCACTGTATCTGATTTATTAATATGCCCACATTCAGTATTCATGACTGCAGGAGGAGAATCGGACTCACCGTCACCTTTCCTCATTCTGCTTGCTATTGATCAGTCCTAAAATATCTGTCTGGAAAACAACCTGCAAGGTTATGCTGCAGGACTCCTGTTTTGCCCAGCTCAATACCAGCAATGTAGGGCACCTTCCCAGGGCTACGTGCCCCTGCCAGGCTTTAGCAGCACCTCTGGGACTGGCAGCCTCCAGAAATACTCCCTGCTAAAACTCAGCCTTGCCGAAGGACTGCTTTCAAGCATTTAAATATTTCATTAAAATCCCCAAATGCTTTTTCTAAGTTACCAATCCAACACTTTAAATATTAAAACCAGTCTATTTATAAAGCAGCAAACGCTTCTCAGCCACAGAGGTGAGCTCCATGGGATCCAATCAGTCCTGGCTTGCAGTGAGACAGATGGAAAAGGAAGGGAATAGAAAGACAAGCCTTTTGGAGAAGTTGGAAATGGAGCCATTAATTTTGCCACTGCATTAAAAGTAAATGTTTACAAACTCATTTTGCCAGCATCTGTTGGTTAATAAAGAAAATGGAACCACTCCTTGGAAATATTTTTTTCCACAGGGAAGTTATACACGTGAATGATAAGGAAAGTAGGCTACAGTGCATCAGCTTGGGGAGTGTGGCTTGGTGGTTCTGCACGTGGGTAGTTCTCAGTGCCCTTCACTTGTGTGGGCTGTTAGTGGGATTTTTGGAGAAAGAGGGCTTTTCCTCACAATCTCTGTCCATGTGGGACAGTGTAAGAGGTCACTTCTCCCAGATGTTTTCCCCACCTGTTTGCTGAAGGTTATCAGCTCCCTCAGCTCACAGCTTGGTAACTGGTGCTCAGCAATGGCTTCAGCTCAGGGGAGCAGGGCAGGTGTGAAGTTCTGAGGAGAAAAATCACCCAGCTGCAAGGGGAGTGTGGAGGAGTGGAGTGGAGAGATAAAACCAATAAATAACACCAGCCTGGGCTGAAATCACCAGAAAAAGTGAATAACAGCCCTCAGTGAAGAGTCTGGAGCGCACATTTGAGGTAGGGAAGAACAAGCCCAGAGCTGGGGTTTGGTTTTTTCTGCAGCAGTGAAGTGACAGCACATGGGCCTGGAGCAGGTCCAGGGAAGGGAACAGACCTGGGGAAGGGTCTGGAGCACCAGGAGGGGCTGAGGGAGCTGGGAAGGGGCTCAGTCTGGAGCAAAGGAGGCTCAGGGGGGACCTTGTGGCTCTGCACAGCTCCTGACAGGAGGGGACAGCTGGGGAACAGGGGCCGGGCCAGGGGGAACCGGTTTCGGTTTGCTTCGGGGGGGTTTTAGTTTGGTCTTTGGGAAATTTCTTTTTTGAGGGGGTTGTCAGGCACTGTCACAGGCTGCCCAGGACAGTGGTGGAGTCCCTGGAAGTGTTCAAATGCCATGTGGCTGTGGCACTTGGGGATGTCAGTTAGGACTGCACCTGGCAGTATAAGGTTCATAGGACTTGGTGTTAGAGGGCTTTTCCAACCACAATGATTTTCTGTTTCAGTGATGTGGGGAGCACCTCCATTCATGTTTTTCCTCAGTGATTCCAAGGCTGCTTTGTTGCTAGGATGCCATGAGTACCCATGAAGGCTGCAGAGTGTGATAGGCAAGATCAGGGATATTGTCTAGGACACCACAAAGTATCAAGAGAGCATGTGCATGAAATACATTTATGTAATTGTGTTTTCTACCCTGCTCTAAACAGACACAGATTGTTTATAAAAATTAACTCTCTTTTGCCCATTAGTGCACTGCCATCTTCCCCCCTATAAAAATCCCAACAGCCTTCCCCAAACTCAGCTCTGAATCTCACCTGACTGTCCCCAGAAGTGGATTTGTGCACCAGCATTTGCCATCTATTTCCAGAACCCTCATTACCCCAAGAAATCCCACTGTGCAAGCCTTCCAGAGGTGGCCAGAGGTGACATAGTTCCATGGTCCCAGCACAGAGACCACTGAAGCAATTCAGGTTCCTCTCAGCTGCTGTGTTTGATTCAGTAAGGAGTTAATAAAAGTGCATTTCTGATTTAGGTAGCTGTCTGTAAAGCAGCTGTTTGGATTTTTTCACGTTGGTTTGAATGTGGTGGAATACTTGAGGGGCAGCAGTTAGAGTGCACTGGCCCTGTTCAGTGTGAGTCTGTTCTCTCCATGGCCTGGCTTCCTTGTGCTTGCAGCACGTGGCTGAAGAGCTGCAGGACCTGCTCCAGTGGCTGATGGGAGCCCCAGCTGGACTGAAAATGAACCGAGCCTTGGATCAAGTCTTGGGCCGCTTCTTCCTTTATCACATCCATCTGTGGATCAGTAAGTGAAATTGTTTAACTTCCCAGCCTCCCTTTTCATCTCTTCCCTCTGAGTGTTTAATGTTTGCCTAGAGGTGAGTAATGAATCAAAATGCACTTCTGCAAGTACAGACTTGTCTGGGAGTCTTCCTGCTGTGGGAACTGAAGCCAAAGTTGGATTCCCACACAAGGAATTCATGCATATTAAATAAAGTGCTGGTATTGATGCTCTGCAAGAAGTGTGGATGCTGCTGGGGCTCAGTTCCTTGGTGTCACTCGTGGTGAGTGTCCAAGGGAAGGCACTGCTGTGAGGGTTTTGTGCTCTTTGCCATGTGAGAGGCAGCTCTTGGGATAGGGATGAGAAATGTGCAAGCCTGCAAATGCCAGCCCTGTGCTATCACCAACTTCAGCTTAGTGCAATTTTATTATTTCAGTTTCTTCCTTGAAATAAAACCCTCTTGTTATCCTTGATGGAGGAGTACAGGCATGATGGACATGAACTCCACAGTTATTTTACTGATTTGCTTTGCTCACCAGTCAAGTATGGTCTTGTTTCTGTGACTTTGCCTCACTTTGGTGATGAAAGAGACTGCTTGTCCATACTGCTTTATTTTACAAAAGCCATATGAGGTGGCTTTTGTGGGAAGAGCAGAAAAACAAGAATGGTTGCAGTAAAGGTTGATGTGTGCAGTTAAAAATGTACTGAAGAACCTGGACACAAATGTAGGAAATCAAATGTTACATCCCAGATTGGGTAGGGATTGAAACAACCTGGTCTGGTGCAAGGTGTCCCTGCCCATGGCAGGGGGTGGCACTAAATTATCTTTAAGGTGCCTTGCAACCCAAACCATGCCATGCTAATTCCATAAAATCCCATGTGGAGAATGGTGACTGCTGTGTTCAAGCTGTGCACACTCCTCCCCATCCTCCCAGTGGGCAGAAACTTGGGCAGGAGAGTTTTTGTTGGCCCTCCTGAAGAGAAGATGGCATCTAAAGGAGTTTTCCAGCTGCCCTTCCATGTTGTCATGGCTCTGATTTCTGGAGCAGCGTTCTAGGGTGAGGGGAATCAGCCTTTTGAGGGGCCAGGAGGGAGATGACCCAGTCAAACACTGACCCTGTGCCATGTCCACCAGGCTACATCCACCTGCTGTCCCCGTTCATTGAGATGATCCTGTGGTACGTGGGGCTGTCGGCCTGCCTGGGGCTGACCGTGGCTCTCTGCATCCTGTCCGACATCATCGCGCTCCTCACCTTCCACATCTACTGCTTCTATGTCTACGGGGCCAGGTGAGTCCCCTCCCTCCCTGGGCTGTGTTTGGGAACCCCTCAGGCTGTGTGGAGCATTCAGTCCTGGTGTAGTTCTCCTGAATTCACTTTTTAACCCACAGTAATTTCTTGAAGTCTTTTATAAGCCTGTAGAAGTGATGGGCACAGCAGTGCAAGCAAGCCATGTTTCATTTCTCCTCCATTTAGATATTTATCTGTTGTGGTAGTGACCTAGAAAATGAAACTGCATGACAGGCAGAGGACAAGAAAGCAACTCACCCCATCCCTTTGATCCAGCTCATAGTGCTCTCCTCCATTGCACCCTGCTAGAGATTTGGAGGGGAACTGGAGAAGAGAAGGAGCAGAGGGGAACCCCTGCAGTTTAGGAGGAGCCCCAAAATCCCTGTCTGCCCTGCTTCAGAGGTCCTTGCCTGCACTGTGGGGCACAGGTGGCAGGTTTGGGGTTCCAGGGGGTCTGTGACACTATCCTGGTGTCATTGTCTGGAGGGTCCCATGGCCCAAGAGCTGGGCAGAGGCTCTGAATGAGCAGGGGGAGTGCAAGGGGCTTTGGGGCACATCTGGAGCTTCCTGTGCAAGAGGTGCCCATCACTGTGCTCTGTTCCTGCTCTCCTCTTACTTGTGCTGCACCAAGGAGTCCCACAGGCCACAGGATGTGCTTGCCAGGGAGATGGGATGGATAGAAGAGATAAAGGACCTTTTGCCTTATAAAGTACAGAATGGCCATTGTCCCTCCTCAGACTTTACACAGGAAACAAGGACAAGAAACAGTAAATCTTTAGATATGGGTAGTTCAGGAAATGGGTGGAAATATTGAGACCTGATTTATTAGCCAGGTCTGTTGTGAGCACAGGTCTTACACCCAGAATCAGTAATGTCAGGAGTGGGAGGTCTCTTCCCAACACCTCTAATCACTGGAATTTCTGTGTGGGTCTGGGAGGAATGGCCTTGCTCATCCTGGTTGTGCAGAGTGGTAGTAGGAAGTAGGAAAAGCATTTTGTCAGCTGATTGCTCTTCCCTGGAGCTGCAGGGAGCCAGCCTGTCTTGTGTTTGTCAGAAGTACAGAGTGTACAGCTGTGTGCTGTCCCCATGGACAGCCAGGAAGAGTCAGCAGTCACCCACAGCCAGCACAGCCCCTTGAACTCCTGCAGCTGGCAGGAGGAAGGATTTGCTGGTTCAGGTGCTGGTGAAGCCTGAGATCCCCTTGTGGAGCAAACCACAGAGTGAAACGAGGGCAGGCATGTGTGTGCAGGCAGAGGGCAGGTGGGGCAGGTGCCACTGCAGCAGCACCCCTGGGTGTCATGTTAGGGGTGCAGGGAGAGCCTGGCCTTAGAGCCATGGGCAGGTGTGTGCCAGAGCCTGGAGGAGCTGTCCTGGGCTCCCTCCTGCCTAGGGATTAGTGCACCAAGCTGTGCCTGCCTGTCTGGAGGCACCATGCCAATTCCTTGAAGCACTTGATGTTCCTCAAACCAGATTCTTCTCTTGGATGAGACTCCTTACCTCTGCTTTCTCATTGCTGCTGTGAAATCTGAGCAGCCTCCACACCTTAGCTAGCCTGGTTTGCCAGTCTGGCTTTTGTGGCTCAGGCTTTCTCAGACTCCCTTCTGCCCCACACATTGACCATGTACCCTTTCTTTACCTCCCTGTGTGCTGGCACTGCTGCCCAGGGCACTTTGTGCCTCCTCTCCATCCCAAGGGCTCTTTCTTCCTTGCTGTTACTCCATAAAGAGGTGTCTGTTTCCCACCCCTTGTCACCCCAAGTGTCCCTCACGGTTGTCATTTTCTGTGAGGGAAGTAGCTCCAAGTCTCATAGCACAAGTTCTGAAATCCCAAGGAAGGGATGCACTGGGGGCCACCAAGCATTTCACTGGTCTCTTCCCACCCTTAAGGATTTTTAGAGCTGTGGGCTACTGGGGAAGCTTCAGGGGCTCCACTCCTCTCCCTGGTGTCTCTGCTGCAGAGGCACAATTGCACTGCATTGACTCAGGTGTGGGGGCAACACCTTGGCCAGCCCTGTCTGGAAGGGTCTGAAGGCAGGGGAAGGGACAGATCTGAACTGGGGAGACACAGGTGACCTTGGGGAAATAGGATTGCTGGTTCTTCTCAGAGAATCATGGAATGGTTTGGGTGGGAAGGGGCCTTAAAGCTCATCTTCTGCCGTGGCAGGGACACCTTCCACTACCCCAGGTGCTCCAAGTCCCATCCATCCTGGTCTTGGCCACTTCTGGGGGTCCAGGGGCAGCCACAGCTTCTGTGGGCACCCTGTGCCATGGCCTCAGCACCCTTTTGCTGCAGGGAAGGTGTTGCCATGAGGCTGGTGCTTGCTGCAGCTCCATGGCCTGGCCATTGCCCTGCAGTGGCCCAGAGCTGGCTGCAGCAGCCCCGTGCCAGGGAGCAGCCCAGACAGGCTTGACTGAGCCATGGGGGTTTATCTGCAGCATTCCCAGTGTATTCCTTTTGCCCCCCCTGGCTCTGCAGGTGGGTGAGTGGGCGTGGGGCTGTGCTGGTGACAGCTGGGTGCTGCTGGAGCTGGGAGCTGCCCGCTGTGCTGCAGAGTGTTCTCTTTGCTCAGGCTCTACTGCCTGAAGATCTACGGCCTGTCCTCTCTGTGGCGCCTGTTCCGGGGCAAGAAGTGGAACGTGCTGCGGCAGCGGGTGGATTCCTGCTCCTACGACCTGGACCAGGTAGTGCCACAGCCCTGGGGACAGCCCAGGGCACTGCCCTCGGTGATGCCCTCCCTCCTGCTCTGACTGATACTGGGACACAGACACAGGAGCCTTTGTGGTGCCCAGAACAAGGACATGTCCCAATGCTCTGAGCCCACGGCTCTTCTGCAGCCTTACAGCACTCCTTGACTGCCTGCAGCACCCCTTCATTGCCATGGACTCCTCCTGCCCTCCAACACCCCTTCCTTACCTGCAGCAGTTCTTCCCTTCCCTATACCACTTCCATTTCCTGCACCCCTCCCCTTCCCTGCCGTGCCTCTTCCCTGCCCTGCACCCCTTCCCTACCCTGCACTCTATCCCTGCTCTCCAGCATCCCATCCCATCCCATCCCACCCATCCCACCCCATCCCATCC